TGTGATACATTTAAAAAACATTAACGTTCATTAAAAAAAAACAAATTCGTTCTTTCATGAACAACATTTCAGGAGCCCAGCAGAACCGCTGTCACACAGGAGCCCTGTAGGCTACACTGGTTCTCTTTCCCTGGTTTCTCCTTGTGGGCACTGACCAGAGCTCCCTCTTATTTGTCTGAAGTGCATAGTTTGCTCCAGTAGTTTCCAAGGTTTGAAGGGGATTGCAGGATAAAGTTTGTTTTCAATGCCGAATTAGTTCCTTTAAAATATGTGCTTCCTATCATGTTTCTGTTGAGTCTCATGAGTAAGTGGATTCTTTGGGCAGTCATAGGTGATACCTCTCTGAAAGCTGAGTGATCTTCTGGCAAAGGCTCTTCAGGTCAAAAGAATTGCATGCCCTTCTTCAAAAGTGACTCAGATGCTTCTAAGTTGAATTCAGTATCTTTCCTTCCACAGGACAATGTTCACATAGATTCCCTTTCCCATACAATGTGGCTGTGGCTGTCCACAGCCATTAGGATGGGAGAAAGTAAACTGTGTGATTCTCTCTGATTGCCTTAGGATCAGTGAACTGAGCCCTGATGTTCACTTGACAGAGACTACAAATAATCTTTGCAAGTGTGTTTACAGTTTGCTCATTTACATGACCCTGTCACCGTGCTCCTGGGAAGAACCTACTGTGACTCTGAGCACAGCAGACAGCATGAGACAACTATACACACTGAATGAAATTTGCTTCTGCTTTGGAGGTCTGATTTTTATCAGAAACAGGACCTGGTTGGAACCAGATCTGCAGAACAAGTTCTGATTTATCATTCACATTTATTGAATTCCTTGACAACTGTGTAAATGAAGAAATCACTTTGTATTTCTAGTAAAAAGAAGAGCATCTAACACTTACTGGGTGCTTACAAGGTGTCAGGCATTGTCTAAGCACTTTACTGTGTTAGCTCATCATACACTATGAAGCTGGGATAGTCATTATCCCCACTCTGTCTATAAGGAAACTGGAATTTGAAGAGGCTAAGTCATTTGCCCAGACGGCACAGCTAGAAAATGGTAGAGCTGGAATTTGAACCCAGGAAACCGAATTCCAAAATGTTTTCTTAGCCATGGCGCTATACTGATGATATTTGTACATTTTGTATTGCTACAAATATAGCCAAATTTTCTAACTGGAAGTAAGATGTGATTCTAGTAGACAGCAGTCAGCACGATAGGTGAGTGATGCTTAGACAGTTTAGTATAGAGGCTGAAACTCAAATATCTACCCTCCACTCTGGAAGAAAACTGCTCAAGTCTAGTCATAGTGATGAGGGCTGTCATGAGCTGGAGAATACATATCTGCTCATTAATATGCTCAAGGGGGCAACCGTGTATAAACATGTCAGAGTTTTCATTTGTCAACAGGAGCCAGAAATCTGGATTTTAATGTGAAATGGCCAGTTTCATGCAACCCTTTGATGTTAATGGCCCTGCTGTATCCATTAATAGTTAAATAGTACTCTAGTATAATACAGGCTAGGTTTTTCCTTCAGTAACCAACAACCCCTAAAGCTCTGTGGCTTCAAACAATTAAAGGTGACTTTTAGCTCACGCTCCTTGGCCAACGTGGGTCAGCAGGAGTCTTTGCTCTTGAACGTCTCAGAGACCCAGACTGAGGGAGGCTTTATTGGAACACGTTTTGCATAATAACTACAGCAGTGAGAAGGGGAATGTGTGACTCACACACTGACCCTTGAAGCTTCTTACAGAAGTGACACAGACACTTAGATTCATATTTCATTGGCTAAAGGCAGTCAATGACTACACTTAATTTCTAAGGGGGTGGGGAAGTGCAGTCCTCCATGGGCTGGAGAAGCTAAATATTTATGAATATTCCTAATGATTACCATAGCTCCATATCCTCTGATTTTTCAGGCAGGAATGTTAGAATTTTTTGTAAGGTAGAATCCAGTTTTCAGAGATCTCAAGCAGAAGTTGACTCAAAAAATTCTTTGCTTCTTGAAGGATTATATTTGACTGAGCTGGAAAATTCATGTTTTGCTTCATATGGAGTAACGACCCTTATTTAAACACTGACTTCTATGAGCTGATTAAGAAATCATATGCCAGTACTATGAAATAATCCTTAGCTGAAGTGATGATTTATATATGTGTATTTATTCCCCAAAGCACTGCTCATATATCTTAAATGTTTGTTTATATTATCCCCTATCTTGTATAACTTGTCTCATTAACTACACCGTAGAATATAAATCTTGTCTTACTAATTTATACTCCGTAGTGCCTGGCTCTATAGAAATTGGTTGTATATGGATGTTAATAAATTTTATTGCTATGTTTATCGATTAGTGGTTTTTAAATCATTACAACTAGAGATCTTGACTTCAGGAAAAGTCACAGAAGTTGAAAATACTTGAGGCAATTCTTAGAAAGTTGCTCAGTGTTCATTATGATGTGAAGTGAGAGTGAAAATTCGGTAGTCCCTCAAATTCAAGGGCAGTTCTGGCTTATACCCTATGAATCACAAGGCAACCAGACCTTCTTTTCAGATATTATTTTTCTGTGATGTTTTCACATGCTTATTTTTGGCTGTAATATTTGGATGAACTCTAGCTTTAAAAATTATGAAATAAATGTCAGTGCTCAGGGGGGTATTCGATTGCCCAGGGTCTTGCAAGGCTCTAAACACTCTTCAAAACAAACCCATCCTAGCTCCTAAACCCACACCCTTCCTGGATGACCAGATAAAGGGTGATTCTCATTCTTATGAAATGCAAAGTGCTCAGGGACACAGATGTGTGAGGACAGAGCTTGGCCGAGGAACAGTGTTTCTATAATTTGATGGTAGAATTACTACCCTTTGAGAAAGTTGCATGAACACAAGTTACTCACTGATTGAATCTCAACCACGCAAGTGTGTTTCCAAAATCAATCACTCTTAAGTTATTCCACATGTACTTGTAAATATTAACATAAAGGCCTATGTACCTGGGTTCATTGTTGTCCATCTGCTGATACTAAAAGTGAGGAAGGTATAGCATAGTGTTAGGATTCTGCTGTCAGATGAACTGGGTTTTAAAACAGGTTTTAAAGCAATGCACTGTTTGTGTAGTGTAGGAAAGTCATATAACCTCAGTGACCCTCGGATGCCTTATTTGTAAAATAGAGATAGAAGGTATCAGGAGGTTGCTATGAAGATTAAATGAAATAATGTGTATAACATACTTGGCATAATGCCAGGTACGTGGTAAGCATTCAATAAAGATCAGCTATTATTATTAATATTTTACTATTATCTTTATAAAAATCATATAATCAGGATGAAAGGGTCTCAAAGGATTCAGCTGCTCATCAAATAATTTAATCCCCTCTCCAATTTTCCTGCCAAAAAGTCTCCTACCTAGCCCATGGTTGAATATTTATTGTTGGATAACTCTGACTTTAAAAACTTTCTCATATTGAACTAAATTATGCCTAAACCTGTAGCTTTCACCGTTTGAAAATACACAGAACAAATGTAAACCCTTTCTTCATGACAGCCCTTTGTGAATTTGAAAATATCTCTAATCATAGGCTTTTCCTTAAACTTCCTTGGAACTTTTCCTACCTCTCCCTGAAAGTTTCATTTGATCTTTTTCCTTCCCTTCAGCACCAGCATTTTGGAAAGAATAGTCTATAGATGTGGTTCCAACTTCGTCCTGTTTTATATTCTCTTCAACACCTTGGATACAAAATCTGATCCAGCAGTTCTCCAAACCAAAGCATAGGGGCTCAACCCAGCAGTCAAAACAAAATGAAAAACAGAGAGAGATTAAAGGGGCTCTCTTTTGATGAGCCCTTTGAGTATTCTAATCACTGTACTAAGAGTTTCACATATATTTTCTCATTTCATTCTTAGTAGACCCTACATGGAGTATGTATTATTGTCCCTATTTCACTCTTGAGGAAAATGAGTCTCCTAGAGTTTCAGTTGTTCAACACCCTGCAGCTTGAAAGGGGTGGTAGGACAGGGCAGGTTTTGTAAGTGGGCTGTTTGCCTCTGAGGTCTCTGCACTTACACACCAGGCATATAAATACAAATAAAGTTGAATGTGTATGCAGAGGTAGAGATAAACTAGCTCATCAGTTAATATTATTGGGCGCATATCATGTAAAAGACATATTTGTAAAATAAAAAGAAATATAAGACATAGCCCTTTTTCTCATACAAGGAAGCTCACAGTCTAGCAAATACACACACACAACTCACAAAAGCAGTAATTCACAAGACTGAAGGATATCAGTATAAGCATATTCTATGAGATAGCTCTCTCATTAATTCCTTCCTTATATTTTAAAAATTGTTTATAAAAGATTTTATAAAGATTGTATATATACACACACATATATATATAATGACATACAGGTAGAGATAGGTATAGGTATAGATAATGATAAACAGAAGGAAATGCAAAGATACAAATACAGAATATAGAGAGATATGGATATATCGTCAGTATTAAGATACAGGTATAGATTGAGATTAAAAACAGAAAAAAAAATTAAAATAAAACTATGGACCAGAAGGATATACATCAACTTCAGAATAGTGGTCATTTGGGGGAAGAAATGAGAGAATAGGACTAGGGTAGGGATAGAAAGAGAGGGAAGGGGTGGTGAAAGAGGAGAGAGGAAATATCTGTAATGTTCCATTCATTTTATGTACATAAAATATCTGAATAAAATTATAAATAAAACAGTAAGAGTGGGAGTGTCAAGGGACAGTCTCAAGTCTTTTTTAATTCTTTGGCCTTTGGAGAAGAATCATATAAATGACAGGGTACTGTCAAGCTTTATATATTATTATATCTTTTAAAAAGTATATCCTCATAAAAGAGAGCCAACTCATACATTTAAGAAGGATAACACCATAAATACGGTTTCTGACATACAGAAGGTCTCACATCCCCGTATCTCTACCCGCTCCTGACCGCCGTGCTTCTGTCTGTCTGCAGGCAGTGGGCTGCGACCGACAACTGGGGAGCAACGCCAAGGAAGACAACTGTGGCGTCTGTGCTGGTGACGGCGCCACCTGCAGGCTGGTGCGGGGACAATCAAAGTCACAGGTTTCTCCTGAAAAAAGTAGGTTTTAAACCCGATACGATGTTACCATAAAACATGTGCTTTAGACCATCTGATACTAGAATAACATTTTCCCAACGCTAAGCTTTTTCGTTGGAAAGAACTTTTGACCCGTGTTCTAAAAGACACATTTCTTCCAAAAAGGGTAGTATATCAAATTTTTATTCCCATTACCTCTTTAAGATTTTTTTTGATATGGACCATTTTTTTTTTAAATTTTTTTTTAAGGGAATTCCTTTATTTTTATTTATTTATTTATTTTTATTTATTTATTTGTGGCTGTGTTGGGTCTTCGTTTCTGTGCAAGGGCTTTCTCTAGTTGCGGCAAGCGGGGGCCACTCTTCATCGCGGTGCGCGGGCCTCTCACTGTCGCGGCCTCTCCCGTTGTGGAGCACAGGCTCCGGACGCGCAGGCTCAGCGGCCATGGCTCACGGGCCCAGCCGCTCCGCGGCATGTGGGATCTTCCCGGACCAGGGCTACGAACTCGTGTCCCCTGCATCGGCAGGCGGACTCCCAACCACTGCGCCACCAGAGAAGCCCGATATGGACCATTTTTAAAGTCTTCATTGACTTTGTTACAGTATTGCTTCTGTTTTATGTTTTGGTCTTTTGGCCAGGAGGCATGTGAGATCTTAGCTCCCTCACCAGGGATCGAACCCACACCTCCTGCATTGGAAGACGAAGTCTTAACTACTGGACTGCCAGGGAAGTCCCTATTCCAGTTACCTCTTCTAAGACTACCTGTTTCTTTGAACATATGCCAATACAGAGTATAACTATTTTTTTTAAGTTTGCTGATTTTTTAAGGTAAACTATGAGTCATTATTTTTTTTGCCCCCGTCTGATTGCTAACAAGGTAGAAAATACCATCATGCATGTTTTGCCCATTTTTACTTCTTCAGGTTTCAATTAGCTGCTGAAGTCATTTACTCTTTTTCCTGTTTGGATGGTGATCTTTTCCTCACTTGTATCATGAATATATCCTATTTGTTTGTCTGTTGTACCTATTTCTAATGTTCTCTGTTTGTCATTTGACTTTCAATATTGTTTGTGTTTGTAGAATCAGTAGTTTCTAAGTTCTACATATTCAGACTTTTCCATCTTTTAAGTTCAATAATATCTGCTTTAAATTTTTTAAAAAAAATTTGGGGGTCAGTCAACTTTTTCTGTAAAGGGTCAGAGAGTAAATATTTTAGGGCTTTTCAGCCCATATGGTTTCTGTCTCAACTACTCAACACTGTGCTGTTGCCAGGCAAAAGCATCCACAGACAACCCGTGAACCAATGGGCACAGCTGTGTTCCAATAAAACTTTATTTACAAAAACTAGCCTGCAGGCTGAATTTGACCCTCAGGTTGTAGTTTGCTGACCCTTGCCTTAAAGGGAAAAAATTATACATGTGCGCCTTCTGCCAGTGCTTTCTTTTGTGTGTTCCTACTGTTAGTTTTTTATAAATTTATAAATTTATTTATTTAGTTTTGGCTGTGTTGGGTCTTTGTTGCTGCGCACGGGCTTTCTCTAGTTGTGGTGAGCGGGGGCTACTCTTCGTTGTGGTGCGCGGGCTTTTCATTATGGTGGCTTCTTTTGTTGAGGAGCACGGACTCTAGGTGCATGGGCTTCAGTAGTTGTGGCTCGCGGATTCTAGAGCGCGGGCTCAGTAGTTGTGGTGCACGGGCTTAGTTGCTCCGCTGCGCGTGGGTTCTTCCCAGACCAGGGATCTGACCCGTGTCCCCTGCATTGGTAGGTGGATTCTTAACCACTGCGCCACAAGGGAAGTCCCTGTGTGTTCCTACTTTAAACTCTTTTATTTCTTCGTGTTTATTTGGATGTAACTTATGAAATAGGGATTTTACTTATTCTTCCAAAATGGGGAGAACCTTACAGGAGGGGTGGAAGGTGGGGAGGATTTTCCAGGCGGAGGAAACACAAAGTTCATGGTGTGACCCTAGAGGGAAGCCTGGACTTTGTTGAGGAACTACTAGGATTGCACATTGGTTAGGGTGGGGGAATGAGACAGCAGGCAACCATAAAGGCCTTCATCATTGTGCTTCACATTTCAGGTTAAATGGAGTCATTGAAGCCATTTAGGCAGTGGAGTGGCATGGTTAGATTTGTGTTTTAATGAAATAATTCTGGCTGCATGTGGAGGTGAGCCAGGAAGCAAGGAGGCTAAGCAGGATGCCGTTTTTAAATATTCCAGGGCGTTTGAAATAATGAGGCCTTGGTCGGGAGTCGTGTGGTGGGAGAGGCAGAGGAAGAAACAGATGGGAGAGAGATTTAAGAGAGTCAGTGGAGTTTGATAATTCTTTGAATGAAGACTAAGAGAGAAAAGAGAGGTACGGTGTTGCAGATTTTCCAGCTTGAGCAGATGGGTGGATTTATTTGCTGTTCATCAGGGTAAGGAATGCATGGAGAGGAGATGCATGTCAAAGATAATGTTCATATACACATGTTCCCATTTCTCTTCCCTCCTGCGTCTCCCTCCCTCCCACCCTCCATATCCCACCCCTCTAGGCGGAACACGTGTATATGTATAACTGATTCACTTTGTTATAAAGCAGAAACGAACACACCATTGTAAAGCAATTATACTCCAATAAAGATGTTTAAAAAAAAAAAAAAAGACAAACGTTCACCTCCTTGGGTTTTTCTTCTTTCCCGAAATTTGGCCCCTTAAGTATTCAGTGCCTTGATACCTATCTGATACCTTCAAACAGATGTTGATTGTCTTTGGAGTGGAAGAGTTGATCTGAAACATGATAGTCCGTTGTTGCTAGTGGCAAAATCCCCATCTCGGTGGTCTTTAGCTATAAATTAGCTGAGTCCCTCCAAAGAGAGTATATAGAATATATCAGGAAGTCATGACAATTTAGCCAGGGAAAACGTTTAAGGGAATTCAAGTGAAAAGATAATGAAAAGAGTAGGTAAACTCAGAACTTAGCCAAAGCAGTATGGAAGCTGAAGGAATAAGTAATTCCAAAAAGGAGGTAATAGTCGGCCATGTTAAATGCTGTTTTGGGGTGAGCTGGAATTAAGGTCCAAAAATTTCTCTTTGGCAATTTGAAGCCAAATTTGTGACCTTAGCAAGAGTGGTTTCAACGAACTTCTGGCTGAAACCAAAGCCTGAATGCAGTGGGTTTAGGAGTGAACAGAAGGTGAGAGAATGTATCAAGGGAAGGATTTTCCCAGGAATAAGGGAGGGGTACACACCCACACCATGTCAAGAACTGGATAACTACAGGCACCCTTGAGAAATTAACTGTGTTCCAATACAGTGTTTTGTCTTTTCTTTAAAAACTCTGTTCATTAGGAGGTAGAGTCAGCTGCTTAAGAGTGAGGGCTCTAAAACAGATTCACAAATGGGAAAAATAATTATGCTCAGCTCTTAGGGTCATTGTGGGGATCAAATTGGACTATATATGAAAAAGTGTCTGACACATAGTTAACACTGACTGAAGGATAAAGATGAGGCAGATGACCCTACTCTCCAGCCATCCTTTTCTTCATTGGAAGCTATGATCTCTACATCACTTCCTTCTTCTTTAGGATAAAACATTGGCAAAGGGATTAACAGTAGAAAAAACAAAATTTTAAGTACAACAAAATATCTGTGCAAGCTTTGGGAATAGTTGTAGCAGGAGGGTGCTTAGTGACTTGAGAAACAGGTTTAGTATTCTTTCATTGCAAAAAATACTATCATATAAATTGTCTGCTGCAGACAATAAGCACAAGTGGGTGTTTTGTGAGCTAATACTGTGGTGCCAAGGAATTATGAAAAGATTTCAGGCTCCCTAAAATATAAATAAAAAATAAATAAAAAATATAAAAAATAAATTAAAAAAATAAAACAAATTCACAGATGTAGAAAACAAACCTGTGGTTACCAAAGGGGGGGGACAAATTAGGAGTTTGGGGTTAACAGATACAAACTACTATATATAAAATAGATAAGCAACAAGGATATACTGTATAGCACAGGGAATTATACCCAATATCTTGTAATAACCTGTAATGGAATATAATCTGCAAAAATACTGAATTAAGATGCTGTATACCTGAAAGTAACACAGTATTGTAAATCAACTATATTTCAATAAAAAAAGAAAAGAGTGAGGGCTATCAGGGACTCGAGCGTGCTCCCATCAAGGAAAGGCGGATAAGGAACTCATCAAAGACAGTAAGGAGGGGAATTCCCAGCGAGACTCCGTGCTCTCGCTGCTGGGGCCCGGGTTCAGTCCCTGGCCGGTGAACTAAGATCCCACAAGCCACGCAGTGCAGCCAAAAAAAAAAAAAAAAGACAGTAATGAAGTAGAGGAGTAGCTGCAAGGGGGCCTAGGTGAGATTGGAAACCATGAGATCCATGGGCTTCCTGAAGGAGCTGGCTTTGAGTGGTGGGGTACCAGTGAGAGATGCATTCTATGGGAATTCATAGAAGACCCAACTTATAGATACAGGAGTTTACATATTTCTTCTAACCAGAAGTCTGGAGCTGGCAGTCAAGTTTGGGGAAGCTGTTTTACTGTGTTTTTGAGGAACCAGGCTCCTGTCTCTCCTTCACCAGCTTCGAGTATGGCTTTCATCTGGGGTTGCTAAGTCACTATTAAATACTCAGACAACACATCCACACAGCAGATGATAAAGAAGAAGATGGCGCAAAAGGCATTCTTTTAATACTGTGCCCTTTAGTCAGGAAGGGAAGTCTTCCCCAGGGAGTTTTGCCTTGCTGACCAGAACTGTGGCGTATGACACACTGGCTTCTAAGGAGCTGGGAAACCAAGGATATCACATTCCATCCATTCTGTTATTAGTAATATTGATCTAATGCTTTATAATTCCCAACATTCTCTTCAGGCATACCATTTAATTCCACCAGCCCCCTTACATTGTGGTTTTGACATTGTCCGACCCATTTTACAGGTGAGAAAACTAAGGAATAGAGAAGTTAAGGAATATGGTTAAGAAATTGGAGTCTGGGGCCAGACTGCCTGGGTTTAAATCCTG